GACCATCAGTCCCTCTGCCACTACTGAGGGGGAGAGCCGGGGGGGCTCTGGGAGCATGTTTGTCTCCAGAGAGCGATCAGAGACAGAGGCCCCTGCTGCCATCAAGATGTTAAGGCCACTAGGGGCTGCAGAGACAAACTGTGGCAGTAGAGAGGATTTATACCTATACATTCCTGAATCACTAGAATCAGCCTGGGTATAATTGGACATCTGGGAACTGGAAGAGAATTCCTGCTGATGAGCTGAGGGCAGAAGATTGGCCTTGGGCTCTCCACCCACAACCATCAGGGGACCAATGCTCACAATGGCTTTGGCATCTGAAAGGAGACAATACATTTAAAGTAATTAAAAATAAACCTGAAACATTAAATTAATGTTAAGTCCTAGAAGAGCAATATGCTGCCATGGCAGTTCAATCACATTAAGATCAGCAAAATGATAAGAGGATACTGACCAATGAGTGGAGTCTTGAAAGAAGAGCCTTTGCACCTGGACCCGCAACAGCGGCACACCTCAACATCACCACTTATCTCCTCCCATCTGTGATAGATGGGTCAACGCCCATTAACACTAAACATAACAAATCATGAGTTTTCCTAGCCCATATACCTTGATTTGATCCTATTGTAGTTGCAGGACTTAGCATCTGGAGACACGCCTTGGTTGGAGATGATCACACTGCAGTGCACATAGGTCTAGGAAGGAAATAGATTACTTCAGTAGGAGTCCAAAAAGTGGCTAGTCAGAACTTAGTTTGCCCTTCAGATTTACTAACCTGTAATGGTAAAAGAGATGTGTTGAGGATGAAATTAACTGCATCTGCTCTCCTTAAGGCCACAAACTCTGCCACAGCATGCTGGGATGCCACAGAGGCAACACACCTACAGAGAACATTATAGAAAATTATCACCATTACAATGCACTCCGGTAAGCACTAATACATGTAGGTGACACAACTGTACCTGCTACTAACCCTTTATTTAATATGACCCCAAGCCTTGTTCTGGTCGCTGGGTCAGGGAACATAGAAGCAAAGCAGGACCGAATGAAGAGCTGCTGGTTGGGGGCAGGCCTGGTGGACACAGACACCTGGAGGTAGATGATCTGCCCTCTTTCGTAGATGTTGATTTCAGCTGCATTGGTCCAGGATGCTGCGAAGTCCATGAGAAGAACATTACAGTAGTAAATATAAAAAACACCAATCAATTTAACAGTGTCCCCTTTATCATGACTCACGGTTCATAGCGTTCACAGTAAAGCCCCAGCTCTTGTGAACTGGTGTTAAGACAGGCATAGGGGGAACTGGCGTTGCGGCAGGGGGACTCGCCTCAGACCTGAGATATGACAATATTGTAATTACGCAGCAGTCAACACCCACATTACTTAAACACTCATGTAGGAGCTTTGAGACAAACCTCTGTTGCATGCAGGAGATGGGTAGTAGGAAAGGAGTCAGCCACGAAGTGAAAAGAGAGTTCCTAGGGTTGAAGTGGAGGAAATTGGAGTAGGTCTCAAATCCATTGTGTGTCTGGAGAAGAACATAGTACGTTATACACAGCTTGAACTCATTTGAGAGAAACATTTAATTGGAAAGGCTTTAAAGGGCATTTGGTATAGGGTACTCACCTCTCGGTTAGTTCCACACTGGGTGAGTTCATAAATGAAGACAAATTCATTCCCATGAGCTCCATTGCTCTGGCAGCCTTCACCAAACATTAACTCATCACCGCTCAGCACAACACCATTAAAGCGCTTATCTACCTGCAGATTTAGCTGTGTTCCACTACATATGACCTGAATTCTGGGGAGATTAATGTGTGGAGGTAATTCTGCAAGCATGTTGAAGTTCGGTACTCCAGTGAGCCAAGAACTGAAGATGGTGTCATATGGGATGTCATTCCCACCTTCGACTGAGAAGGTGAAATCAGGAACTTGCCAAACACTAGTCATTGCACCATCAGAGAACTTCACTGCCCTATCTTCTACAGGTATACATAGCCCTATGGTAAAACACAGGAGTACTATTGCAACTACCCCCATTTTGCGATATCTCAAACATGCCAACCCAAACATGTTACTACGCTCTCCAATTTGACCTGTAGCTCTGGTAAAGGCCCTCTGACTCAAGGACTCGCTGATGGCTCTATTTGTAGCTTCAGGTTGGCAATGCGCAGGTGTTGACAATCGTTAATCAATGTGCAATCAATGAGGGGATTCAATTATCTGGCCCGGGTTACTCGGTGTGTGAGGAGTTTGCGCCAGGTGAAAAGTGGTTGCATTAAGCTTACCGTATGCTTCTCAGTCGAAACAGTTCACGCATATATTATGACCATGGTTTTCTTTCAGCTGTTCTTGCACACAATCTTTTTTCCTGAGGCAAGTTGAAGTTTGGTAGCTGAAGTCTGCGCCCCTTCGTCGGTGATCAGTCAATAGTAATACTCCTAGTAGGAGTGGGAACATGAAGTGTTTGTTGTCATTCAACAAGAGAAGACTAGTTTTCATGCACATTTTTTCACTTGAGAAATACTGCACCAAACATCTTAGCTTTATATAAATTTGTGCGACTAAGACCTCCTCGGGAAAAATGTCTAAATTAATGACAGATTACTTGATTTAGGAAATGTTTCTGTTGTTGCTATGGTGGCTCAAGAGGGCCATACAACAGTAATATTTCCACTTTGTTCACGTTTTCCAAGCGAAGGTCTTTTAGTGAGTATGAGAGATGGGTGTGATAGTGGGTGTTTCGGCTGTCAGGCAGACAGACTGACCCAGAGACACCATTGGAAATGCACCAAGATCCAGGAATCTGAAGATTGAGCTGAGGAGGACGCTGCACTCAGATGCAGAGTAGCCCACGTTTTGCAAGCATGGAGAGGGTAGAGATAGTCAGACTAGTAAAGTGTGCTAAGGAACATAAGCTTGGTATTGGAAAAGGCCATCAGTTCTACCAGACAATACAGCAGATGAAGGCGCATGAATGTGGTGAACGGATAGACGTGGTTATGGACAGCGAGGAAGAAGGAGAAGAGCCGAGTGCAGAGGGAAGATGTGTGTTGAGGAAGAATGGCACCAAGTACAAACTGTACTCTGCTCTGACCTCTGAGTCCAAACCTAGCCCCTATGGTCATGCAAAGGATGATTATGGCTCAGTGGAAGTGCATTTTTTTGAGAAAGTGGATCCCTGCCTTTTGGCTGACCCATATGTAGAAAATGGGGAGAAAATAATTTGGTTACTGTTAAATCAGTGAAGGTAGATCGAAGTGGACTTGTGAGGATTTTCTGTGTTTCTTCTGCCCAGAGGGAGCGGGCGTTTCATGTCACGCACCTAGTCACAGGTCTTGTTCCGAACTTTGCTCTCCGGAGCATGGCACCTTTGAAAGGAGTGATTATTGGGGTAGTGTTAATGGTTGAGGTGGAGCAACTGAAATTGAAGATTCCCTGTGTCTGTGACGCCCGCCGTTTGGTGAGACGCAGACCTGGTGGCGAGCATGGTGAAACTGAGAAGACACGTGTAGGAGGGAGATTCTGGTATGTGATTGTGCAGGAGGGCATGGGACAAAGGAATGTGTAGTATCGGTGGGAAAAAACTGTCAATTGTGGGGGTGCCCATGTTGCTGGGGATTGGAAGTGCCCGGTGCGAGATAGACAGGTTGAGGTTGACAGGGTCAGAGTAGAACAGAAGGTGTCCTATGCTGAGGCAGTGAAGAGACTATATTTTTGATGATGAAATGACTAAAAACCTGTTTTCTCTTTGTCATTATTGGGTATTGTGTGTAGATTGAAGGCTGTAATGTAACGAAATGTGGAAAAAGTCAAGGGGTCTGAATAATTTCCGAATGCACTGTATATATATTTTATCCACTCATCAGTTCCCTAAAATATATCTGTATGCATTATGCAAAGTATGCAAATCCATCAATGCACATGTAAAATCCTTCAGCGCGGCTTTGGGTGACATAAGAAAATAAAAAAGAGCCCTACTAACTTCTTAAAGACCCTCCCCCATGCCCCAAATCCCTTCCAACCCCATCCAACCTCAATGACCCTACACTTCAATCTTTCCCTCTCTTCAACATACTTACACCAATATAACAACAAATGCTCCACCGTTTCATCGACCATGCACTCCAGACACATACCATTCACATGCTTGCCAACCAGATGTAATGATGAGTTCAATGTACAATGTCCTAGGCGCAACCGAGCAAACACCACCTCTTCCTTCCTAATCTGACCTTTGGAGGGCATATAAATGCCGGCCCTTGGGCTCCGAGTCCCATCTCTTCTGCCACACATCTATCAAAATTGCTCTGATCTTATGTTTGGCCTCAGCTCTACCCAGTGGAGCATGAATATCAACTATATCTTGTTTTAAAGCACTTTTCCCTATCTGGTCTACAATTTCATTCCCTTCCACACACAAATCTCTCTAGTACACCCACTCTCGATTCTCCATAATAGTGTCAATGCTTCCAATAGTAGATCACTCCTATTAGATTTGCCAGAGGATAAACTACTCAATACAGAAAGAGAATCTGAGCATAATACAATTCTGACAGATTGAATGTCCTCCACCCACTTGAGGGCAACTACTATTGCCAACATTTCAACAGAGTATACAGACAGTTAATCTGTTAGTCTTTTACATATCTACACATCAAATTCAGGAATGTAAACGCCTGCTCCTGTGTGCCTACTATCTGGGTCCTTGGATCCATCTATGAAAAACAGTAAAAATGCATAAAAAGTTATACTGATGTAATTGTCAACCATTTTCCCTATATCACTGACTTCTGACCAATCTTTTATTTTTAATAGCTAGCCTTATTGTTTGGCCTGTTATTAGGCTGCGTTTACACAGGCAGCCCAATTATGATATTTCTTCCACTAAATTGGTCTTTTGACCAATCACATTAGATCTTTTCACGTCAGCTCTTTTTCAGAGCTGATCTGGTTGGTCAAAAATACCAATTAGTGAAACAAATATCAGAATTGGGCTGCCTGTCTAAACGCAGCCTTACATTACTTGTTTACCCATGTATGTGTAGGTAGGCTACGTCATTAGAAATACAGTAGAAATTCCCTTCTGATCAGTTTTGACAGAGCACTATTATTTCACAGGTAATAGCCAACTCGAGGCGGAGCGTAGCGTCCTCAAACGCACAGGTTGGATTCCACGGAGGTGTGCGGAAAGAGAAGAGGACGAACAAAGCAAAAGCAGCGGCGCGGCTTCAAGAGCCAAATGGCGATACAGAAATACCTTTAAAATGACTTGAGTGCAAACGGAATTCAACATGGTGAATTTAGGTGAGTTTACTAGTATTCATTGTATGGATGTGTAGTTTAAATGGAAGTGAAGATACGTAGGCAACTGAAGTGTGAATTACCAATCTTAGCAGAACTTTTCTGGGTGGGGTCGGGATGCCGACGTTTTTTGTAGAGGGTCTGTCATAAAAGGAACTGCCATGGGATGTCGTCGTGTTTATAGCAATGTCGTTTCCAGCATAATGCATAGGCCTACCAATGTAGGCTAACTGTTCTGGCTATCTGATTTAATATAGTAACATAAAAAAACTATATGAGTAACAGAACGAGGGTCAATAACGTCATATCTTTTCCCAGTTTGGACAATGATTGCTCATTAGGCGGGGCCTATAGTAATACTATTGGTTATGTAGGCCTATTCGTAAACAACTGATGGATCAATAGATAAGGAATAGTAGCAGATCGCAATACCATCACTTTTAGACTAAAGTGCAGACCTGAATTGAAGTAATGGATAGGGTATGCAAACTCGACCCCTTGGGTAAATATCATTGACAGTCGACCCCCACCCTGTGTTTTGTGTATTTCAGTTTAGCTGGGTGAGGGGAGGCTAAAACTCTAAACTATCTGCGTCAATTTGCTTCAGAGGTGGTGTAAAGTAAAGGCCCTGTGCATTATTTAGTATACTGTATTTTCTTGTCAACAAACGCTTAATTAACTTGCAGAGATTGGAAATGGGTCTTTATACTCACAACAGTTACCATTTCTAGTGTTGCCCTGGGTCAGATGTGTTGGTTGAATTGTAATTACACTATACATTGCCTTGTTTTCAAGGCCTTGAGTAGTTGTGGTAATGTTACCTGGGGTGTACTCATTATGCATATTCTGTTGCAAAACTTTTAGTCCGTTGCGAAACGTTTTGCAACAAAAGTGAGAGTTTCTATTGGACAAATTCAAGTAGGTCCCTCCCAGTTTAGTTCCATTTGCTCAGTTTGCTTCTGTTTGGTTCTTAAACGGTTTCCGTTGCAAGACATAATGAATACACCTCAGGTATCCTACCCGCTTCAAGACCATTATGGCATGATATTACCGGCGCTGCTCATTGAACCTGATTTTCTCATTTTAGGGCGAGGCCAGAATTGCCCATTTATTTGATCTGTATCCATGGTTTTCAATGATTTCTCAATGAGAGTCGTACGTTGACGGTCATCGATGAAGACGCCTCCATATCCATACAACTTCCATCCATTTTCACGGACAAAAAGTTCAGATGAGTTGAACTTTTGACGTGCCGACGGATGAGTAACCATCCATGGAGCCAATTAGCCACGCCCACTCAATGTACGTCACACACTCCACACGCGCACGGACCACGGACCAAAATGTATCAGTTCTATACTGAACAAAAATATAAATGCAACACGCAACAATTTAAAAGATTTTGCATTACAGTTCATATAAGGAAAGCAGTCAATTGAAATACATTCATTAGGCCCTAATCTATGGATTTCACATGACTGGGCAGGGGTGCAGCCATGGGTGGGCCTGGGAGGGCATAGGTCCACCTACTTGGGAGCCAGGCTGACCCACTGGGGAGCTAGGCCCAGTCAATCAGAATGAGTCAGTTTGTCAAATTTCTGCCCTGCTGGAGGTGCCCCGTTCAACTGTAAGTGCTGTTATTGGGAAGTGGAAACGTCTAAGCAACAACAGCTAAGCCGTGGAGTGGTAAGCCACACAAGCTCACAGAACGGGACCGCGAGTGCTAAAGCGCGTAAAAATCGTCTGTCCTCGGTTGCAACACTCACTACTGAGTTCCAAACTGCCTCTGGAAGCAACGTCAGCACATGAACTGTTCGTCGGGAGCTTAATGAAATGGGTTTCCAGCCGCACACAAGCCTAAGATCGCCAAGCGTCGGCTGGAGTGGGGTAAAGCTCGCCACCATTGGACTCTGGAGCAGTGGAAACGCGTTCTCTGGAGTGACGAATCACGCTTCACCATCTGGCAGTCCGATGGATTAATCTGGGTTTGGTGGATGCCAGGAGAACTCTACCTGCCCGACTGCATAGTGCCAACTGTAAAGTTTGGTGGAGGAGGTATAATGGTCTGGGGCTGTTTTTCATGGTTCGGGCTAGGCCCCTTAGTTCCAGTGAAGGGAAATCTTAACGCTACAGCATACAATGACATTCTATACGATTCTGTGCTTCCAACTTTGTGGCAACAGTTTGGGAAGGCCCTTTCCTGTTTCAGCATGACAATGCCCCCGTGCACAAAGCGAGGTCCGTACAGAAATGGTTTGTCGAAATCGGTGTGCAAGAACTTGACTGGCCTGTACAGAGCCCTGACCTCAACCCCATCGAACACCTTTTGGATGAATTGGAATGCCGACTGTGAGCCAGGCCTAATCGCCCTACATCAGTGCCCGACCTCACTAATGCTCTTGTGGCTGAATGGAAGCAAGTCCTCGCAGCAATGTCCCAACATCTAGTGGAAATCATTCCCAGAAGATTGGAGGCTGTTATAGCAGCAAAGGGGGGACCAACTCCATATTAATGCCCATGATTTTGGAATGAGATGTTCGACAAGCAGGTGTCCATATACTTTTGGTCATGTAGTGTATTTACCAACAACAACAAAAAGCTCACAAGACAGGTAGACTAGCATGTACCAGATGTATATACAGGTGTCCACATACTTTTGGTCATGTAGTCAGCGTTTACTGTTTACCCACAGATTAACTATGGTAATGAAAACATTGAAGCAATGTTTCTATCCTCTGCTCCAGGTGTGTGCTGCGCAGACCTGAAGGACAACAAGACCCTGATGAAAATGGGTCTGGGTCTGGTGCTGGTGGGTCACGTCAACTTCCTGCTGGGAGCGCTGGTACACGGCGTTGTGCTCCGGCACATCAATGTGCATGTTCAGGCCAGGGTCATGGGGTACGCCATCTACATCATCATCGCCCTGGTGGCAGGGCTCGTGGTGAGTGACTGGAGGCTGGCAGAGATCTTCCTGCTGGCAGAGATCACTTTGGCCAAAGTGTTCCCTGTGTTGTCTTTGTATTGTGTAATGCTCACTTGAGCAGTATACTGTGTTTTGGCTTTCTTTAATCGAGTAATGAGTCTTGTTTGGAATACAGTATCAGCCTGTAGTAACAAAACGCCCCAACAGAATATTGTAAAGGTTGTGACCTTTTGGTGACATTGTTTCTGGTAACTTTATCATTTGACCTTATAGTAGTAGTATCTCAGTTTGTGGTCCTATGTTAGACTGGAGCCATTTCAGGTAGTGGATTGTTGGTTGTACCATTCTAGCCTGTGGGCCAATAGGAGCGGTGTATTAGCTAACATGTGACTTGACTTCTGTGTCTTCAGGGAATCATAGCTGGAATAGTAGCCATTGTCCTATCCAAAAACCTGAAAAACAGGATTCTGGTAAATATTGCTTCATTCTCTCCTACAGTAGTTTCTTTCTCCACCTATCAGGGACAGGGCAAAATACTGTTTTGTGTTGGTATTTGTCAGAACTTGCCCTCCTTATGTGTCTGGGCACGTTTAGTATCCTCTGGTTCTTTATCTGTGTGTGTGGATGAGTTAAACCCGTATTCAAAAATGTATCGCATGCCATGTACATGCAAATAGAGGCAGGCATCATCAATACACATGCAAAAATGGAACCCACCCTCCATACACATCATTTGATTTACATGTTAACTGTCAGTCATAGTCATACAACTTGCCTGTCAGCCAAGTCAAAAAATATATACTGTATAGGCATAATATACACATTTTCACAGTTTTGTTGCATTACAAAGTGGGATTTAAATAGATGTTTTATTTTATTTTTTATCATAGATCTACACAAACTACTCCATAATATCAAAGTGAAAAAGTTATACAAATTTGTAGAAATTAATAAAAATAAAATAACTAAAATAGTAATTGCATAAGTATTCACCCCCTTTGTTTAGGGAAGCCTAAATTAGTTCAGAACTAAAATGTGGCTTAACAAATCACATAAGTTATATGGACTCACTCTGTGAAATAATAGGAGTTGACATGATTTTTGAATGATTACCCCTTCCTCTGTCCCCCATACATACATCTGTAAGCACAGATTCAACTACAAAGACCAGGGAGCTTTTCAAAAGCCCCATAAAGAAGGGCAGTGATTGGTAGATGGGTAACAATAACAAATCAGACATTGAATATACTGTATCTTTTAAGCATAGTCAAGTTAATAATTATGCTGTGGATGATGTATTAAACCACACAGACACATCAAAGACGCAGTCGTCCTTCTGAACTAAGCTGCAGGACAGCAAGGAGACTGCGAGGGGATGTCACCATGAGGCCATTAGTGATTTTAAAACGGCTACAAGAGTTCATTGGCTGTGATGGGAGAACTGAGGATGGATCAACAACACTGTAGTGACTCCACAATAAGGGCCTAAATGACTAAATAAAATAATAAGAATATAGAGAAAGAATGCATATGTATGCAACAAGGCACTAAAGTAATACTGCTAAAAAACATGGCAAAGGAATACACTTTTTGGCCTAAATGCAAAGCCTTATATTTGGGACAAATCCAACACATCGCTGAGTAATTGCCTCCTTATTTTCAAGTGGTGGCTGCATCATGGTACGGGTATGCTTGACATAGGCAAAGACTGGGGAGTTGTTCAGGATGAAAAGAAACAGGATAGAGCGACACAGGAAAACCTGGTTCAGTCTACTTTACACCAGACACTAAGAGAGGAATTCACCTTTCAGCAGGACAATAACCTACAACACAAAGCCAAATCTACACTGGAGTTGCTTACCAAGAAGACAGTGAATGTTCCTGAGTGGACAAGTTACAGTTTTGACTTAAATCTGCATAAATCTATGGCAACACTTGAAACTTGCTGTCTAGCCATGGACCCAACACCTAGACAGAGCTTGAAGAATTTTGAAAAGAATGGGCAAATATTGCACAACCCAAGAAGACTCACAGCTGTAATCGCTGCCAAAGGTGTTTCTAACGTATTGCGGTGAATATCTAATCAAGGTATATTAGTGTTTTATTTTTCATTAACCTTTAAATGTTAGAATTTTTCTTCCACTTTGACAGAGTATTTTGTATAGATTGTTGACAAAAAAGGAACATTTCATATTTTTTAATCCCACTTTGTAACACAATAAAATGTAAATAAATCCAAGGGGGGTGTAGACTTTACAGTATATAGGCTCTGTACAGTACAGTGGGTTGAGAAAGTATTCACCCCCCTTGGCATCTTTCCTATTTTGTTGCCTTACAACCTGGAATTTAAATGGATTTTTTTGGGGTTTGTATCATTTGATTTACACAACATGCCTACCACTTTGAAGATGCAAAATATTTTTTTGTGGGAAACAAACAAGAAATAAAACAAAAAAACAGAACTTGAGCGTGCATAACTATTCACCCCCCCCCAAAGTCAATACTTTGTAGAGCCACCTTTTGCAGCAATTACAGCTGCAGGTATCTTGGGGTATATCTCTATAAGCTTGACACATCTAGCCACTGGGATTTTCTTTTTTTTGGGGGGGGGGGGGGGGGTGGGATGGTGTTCTCGGGGTGATGAAAGGTGTTTGGTTTGCACCAGACATAGCATTTTCCTTGATGGCAAAAAGCTAAATTTTAGTCTCATCTGACCAGAGTACCTTCTTCCATATGTTCGGGGAGTTTCCCACATGGCTTTTGGCGAACACCAAACGTGTTTGCTTATTTTGTTCTTTAAGCAATGGCTTTTTTCTGGCCACTCTTCCGTAAAGCCCAGCTCTGTGGAGTGTATGGCTTAAAGTGGTCCTATGGACAGATACTCCAATCTCCGCTGTGGAGCTTTGCAGCTCCTTCAGGGTTATCTTTGGTCTCTTTGTTGTCTCTCTGATTAATGCCCTCCTTGCCTGGTCCGTGAGTTTTGGTGGGCGGCCCTCTCTTGGCAGGTTTGTTGTGGTGCCATATTCTTTCCATTTTTTAAATAATGGATTGAATGGTGCTCTGTGGGATGTTCAAAGTGTCAGATATTTTTTTACAACCCAACCCTGATCTGTGCTTCTCCACAACTTTGTCCCTGACCTGTTTGGAGAGCTCCTTGGTCTTCATGGTGCTGCTTGCTTGGTGGTGCCCCTTGCTTAGTGGTGTTGCAGACTCTGGGGCCTTTCAGAAGAGGTGTGTGTATATATATCTATATATTGAGATCATGTGATTGATCATATGACACTTAGATTGCGCACAGGTGGACTTTATTGCACCAGATCTTATTTAGGGGCTTCATAGCAAAGGGGGTGAATACATATGCATGCACCACTTTTCCGTTATTTATTTTTTAGAATTTTTTTTAACAAGTTATTTTTTTCACTTCACCAATTTGGACTATTTTGTGTATGTCCGTTACATGAAATCCAAATAAAAATCAATTTAAATTACAGCTAGTAATGCAACAAAATAGGAGAAACGCCAAGGGGGATGAATACTTTTGCAAGGCACTAATTATATATATATAAAAACTTGAAATAAAATTGTGCTGAACTGCACCATGTGTAGCTACCTATTTTACTATCCAATAATATTGGTAAATAGGTACAGTGGGGAAAAAAATATTTAGTCAGCCACCAATTGTGCAAGTTCTCCCACTTAAAAAGATGAGAGGCCTGTAATTTTCATTAAAAGGTACATGTCAACTATGACAGACAAATTGAGAAAAAAAATTCCTGAAAATCACATTGTAGGATTTTTAAAGAATTTATTTGCAAATTATGGTGGAAAATAAGTATTTGGTCACCTACAAACAAGCAAGATTTCTGGCTCTCACAGACCTGTAACTTCTTCTTTAAGAGGCTCCTCTGTCCTCCACTCGTTACCTGTATTAATGGCACCTGTTTGAACTTATTATCAGTATAAAAGACACCTGTCCACAACCTCAAACAGTCACACTCCAAACTCCACTATGGCCAAGACCAAAGAGCTGTCAAAGGACACCAGAAACAAAATTGTAGACCTGCACTAGGCTGGGAAGACTGAATCTGCAATAGGTAAGCAGCTTGGTTTGAAGAAATCAACTGTGGGAGCAATTATTAGGAAATGGAAGACATACAAGACCACTGATAATCTCCCTCGATCTGGGGCTTCACGCAAGATCTCACCCCGCGGGGTCAAAATTAGCAAAAATCCCAGAACCACACGGGGGGACCTAGTGAATGACCTGCAGAGAGCTGGGACCAAAGTAACAAAGCCTACCATCAGTAACACACTACGCCGCCAGGGACTCAAATCCTGCAGTGCCAGACGTGTCCCCCTGCTTAAGCCAGTACATGTCCAGGCCCGTCTGAAGTTTGCTAGAGTGCATTTGGATGATCCAGAAGAGGATTGGGAGAATGTCATATGGTCAGATGAAACCAAAATATAACTTTTTGGTAAAAACTCAACTCGTCGTGTTTGGAGGACAAAGAATGCTGAGTTGCATCCAAAGAACACCATACCTACTGTGAAGCATGGGGGTGGAAACGTCATGCTTTGGGGCTGTTTTTCTGCAAAGGGACCAGGACGACTGATCCGTGTAAAGGAAAGAATGAATGGGGCCATGTATCGTGAGATTTTGAGTGAAAACCTCCTTCCATCAGCAAGGGCATTGAAGATGAAACGTGGCTGGGTCTTTCAGCATGACAATGATCCCAAACACACCGCCCGGGCAACGAAGGAGTGGCTTCGTAAGAAGCATTTCAAGGTCCTGGAGTGGCCTAGCCAGTCTCCAGATCTCAACCCCATAGAAAATCTTTGGAGGGAGTTGAAAGTCCGTGTTGCCCAGCGACAGCCCCAAAACATCACTGCTCTAGAGGAGATCTGCATGGAGGAATGGGCCAAAATACCAGCAACAGTGTGAGAAAACCTTGTGAAGACTTATAGAAAACGTTTGACCTGTGTCATTGCCAACAAAGGGTATATAACAAAGTATTGAGAAACTTTTGTTATTGACCAAATACTTATTTCCCACCATAATTTGCAAATAAATTCATAAAAAATCCTACAATGTGATTTTCTGGAGAAAAAAAATCTCATTTTGTCTGTCATAGTTGACCTGTACCTATGATGAAAATTACAGGCCTCTTTCATCTTTTTAAGTGGGAGAATTTGCACAATTGGTGGCTGACTAAATACTTTCTTTCCCCACTGTATATACATCTGGTACATGCTAGTCTACCTGTCACGTGAGCTTTTTGTTGTTGTTGGTAAATACACTACATGACCAAAAGTATATGGACACCTGCTTGTCGAACATCTCATTCCAAAATCAAAGGCATTAATATGGAGTTGGTCCCCCCCCCCCCCCCCCCCCCCCCCCCTTTGCTGCTATAACAACCTCCACTCATTTACATTACATTTTTGTCATTTAGCAGACGCTCTTATCCAGAGCGACTTACAGGAGCAATTAGGGTTAAGTGCCTTGCTCAAGGGCACATCGACAGATTTTTCACCTAGTCGGCTCGGGGAAGGCTTTCCATTAGATGTTGGAACATTGCTGTTGGGCGATTAGCCATGGGTCGCAGTTAGCGTTCCAATTCATCCCAGAGGTTTTCGATGGGGTTGAGGTCAGGGCTCTGTGCAGGCCAGTCAAGTTCTTCCACACCGATCTCGACAAACCATTTATGTATGGATCTCGCTTTGTGCACAGGGGCATTGTCATGCTGAAACAGGAAAGGGCCTTCCCAAACTGTTGCCACAAAGTTGGAAGAACAGAATCGTATAGAATGTCATTGTATGCTGTAGCGTTAAGATTTCCCTTCACTGGAACTAAGGGGCCTAGCCCGAACCATGTAAAACAGCCCCAGACCATTATACCTCCTCCACCAATCTTTACAATTGGCACTATGCATTCTGGCAGGTAGCGTTCTCCCGACATCCACCAAACCCAGATTCGTCCGTCGGACTGCCAGATGGTGAAGCAAGATTCATCACTCCAGAGAACGTGTTTCCACTGCTCCAGAGTTCAATGGCGGCGAGCTTTACACCACTCCAGCCGACGCTTGGCATTGCGCATGGGGATCTGAGACTTGTGTGCGGCTGCTCGGCAATGGAAACCCATTTCATGAAGCTCCCGACGAACAGTTATTGTGCTGACTTTGCTTCCAGAGGCAGTTTGGAACTCGGTAGTGAGTGTTGCAACCGGGGACAGACTATGTTTACGCGCTACTTGCTTCAGTAGTCGGTGGTCCCGTTCTGTGAGTTTGTGTGGCCTATCACTTCGAGGTTGTTGCTCCTAGACACTTCCACTTCAGAATAACAGCACTTACAGTTTACAGAGGCAGCTCTAACGTGCTACGTTGAAAGTCACTGAGCCATTCTACTGCCAATGTCTGTCTATGGGGATTGCATTGCTGTGTGCTCGATTTTATACACATCTCAGCAACGGGTGTGGTTGAAATGGCAGAATCCCCTAATTTGAAGAGGTGTCCACATACTTTTGTTTGTGTATCTGTGTGTATATATATATATATATATATATATATATATATATATATATATATATATATATATAGTCTCCATATGTCCAGTATGAAAAATGTATGCACTCACTAACTGTAAGTCGCTCTGGATAAGAGCGTCTGCTAAATGACTAAAATGTAATGTAAATGTATATATTATGTGTGTGTATTCCCCTAACCCTACCACCCCTCCCTAATTAGAGTAAACTAATGGACAACAACACTTAGGCTTCTACTTCCAGCTTATACATACTATATACATTTTACGGACACAGTATATTTTACAATATTTATCGTTTGTTTGTTTTTAATCCCATCCTTCAGCTACCCTCAACTTCTCCCATCTATCTCTGAACATCATCCAGTTTTGATTTCTATTTGCCATATATTTTTAACTGTTCTTTTTCACATAAGTTCTGAACCTATATACATTTTATGGACACAGTATATTTACATTAGTTATCTTGTTTGTTTTTAGTCCCACCCTTCAGCTCCACTCAAACCCTCACATGAGCTTCTTTGTTTATTGACCCCTGCCCTCTTGCAGATGTGGGTGCTGTTGGTGGTCAGTTTAGTGTCAGGCCTTTTGGCAACCGCCTCAACTGTGGGGTTAACCATTTCAATGGTTAAGGCCATTATAAGTGGAGGTCGAGGCCTGCTGAATCATTGCAAGTTCCCTGATGCTATTGGCTATGCCAGCATCACCAACGAATGCCCCTTTGACCCCACAAGGATCTACGTAAGTATTTTAATCAAAAGCTATTAGATGACATGCACTTGTGTGCATTTATTGAAGTTAAAAACATAACAGTAGAATTGATTGAACATGATAAAGATCCTTTAAGAAGTGAGGTTGTTTACATACAGAGACTAATACTCCTCTACAAGCCCATACTAACGCCTCACCTTTGTTCTCCCTAGGAAACTACTATTATTCTGTGGGTGCCTCTCATTCTAATGTGTGTGGTGGAAGTGGTGTTCTCAGGCCGCTGTTTCGCCCTCTGCACCTCCTTCCTCCGCCTCTGTACGTGCAGGAGACGAAGGAAGATTGTCAATGGCAGAAGGGTAAGTCAACTACCCTCACATGTATGATGAGTTACCTTGCCTGAGACCTGAACATTTGTATTGGCTCCCAGATCTAAAGCGCTGAACCCTAGATGTGGGCCTGTCATATACAGTCTCTGGTGTGGGGTAATGCAGCCTTGAGGCGTGTGGATGATCCTGGTTCGTATCCAGGTCGCAAAGTCCTGTCTTCACTTACAAACGGCAATGCTAAACCTTTCATTGACTGTGTGCTGATCAGGGGTGTATTCATTATGCCAGTTCTGTTGCAAAACATTTCTCAAATAAAACAGGAGGGACCTACCTGAATGTGTCCAATAGAAACTCTTGTTTTGCTGTTTGGTTCTTAAGGTTTCTGTAATGAATACACCCAAGGTTTCATAACTAATGTGTGTGTCATGTTTCACCATAGCTGAGGGTGTGCCTGTGTGCTGATCATGTTTCACACCCCGTGGCCTTTTTTGCAGGTGCGCATTCAGACTCCAGGCGAACTGTTACCGGTGTCGCCTACTCCTGAGTCAGAAACTGAGGCAGAGCCGGCAGAGCAACATGAATTGCTGAAGCCTGACTCACCGACAGAGAGGAGTGAATGGGTCTGAACTAATCCACCACCTGCACTAAGACTGCTCAGGACCCATTTGGTGAACTCCACAGGAGAGGTGGTTGCTGTATGTTGACTGGAGGAAGTTAGTGCTATCGGCTATTGAATAACTGGACAAATTTTAGCTGTTTTTGTGGCAATTTTTCTGAGTTTGTGTTGTCACATGATTGCCCTTTAAAGAAAAGGGATATTTTCAAGACTGACCTCTTGACGTGTCACTGCATTTCATTTCTTTCCAAGAGAACAATCTGCCAATATTGTTCACATGTTATGTTCACTAAACCTGTTTCCCCTGCCATGGAAAAGGAGTAGGGTTGCAAAGGGTGGGTATATTACTGTTAACTTTAACTTTCAAGTTTATCACAACATCTAGTGGCCTTTTGGGTACTTCAGATTATCACAGGTGTCGTATCACTGACTCTCAGCACATGTAAATATGAAATAATAAAATGATTTTTCAAAGTTAAATTAAAGCTGTAAAACAAACAATAGGTGTGAGGGTTTCAGCATGAATAACTTTTTACTATGTAAATGTTTTGGCACATAAAAAGTAGTTGGAGAGTTAATTGAAAATGCCATTTTTTATTAGTTCTCTCCATTAATTAGGTTATTTCCTCTTGAACCATATGGTCTGTCCACTAGAAACTTGTGTACAATATGGACAGATATTATATAAATACATTTTTAAAAAGTTAAACACTCCAGTAGTTTGAGTTTTGCAACTCAAAAGGAGCAACTGCTTTGCCAATAACCAGAAACTGCACCTGAAGATGTTCTGGAATAAACAATTAAATTATTTGTAGTGTATTGTGTAGATAAATAAGACAAGTAGATTTCCATAGCATTGTTTCTTAAAGTAGTCTTTGAATGTGTGGTCCTTCATATTTTGTATGAAGTTTGCAAGCACTCCTGGGATGACCTCTTCGATTTCATGTTTGCAGAATATAATCAGTAAATCACTAATTGTCATGACTTTTGCTTGGCTCTAACCTTAATCTTCAACTTCCTCTTAAAGGAATGTGCCTTTCAGAAATACATTTGCTTAACATCCTGTTCAAGTGAAATAATCCAGGAACACTGGTTTCATTGAAATGCTAAAATGACATGGGTCCTACAGTCATTGGAACAAAACCACCTTAAAATACAGAAATACAATACATGGAAGTCATTGATGATTATTTCTGTTTTATCACATACTGTACGTCAGGAGTAGTATTCAGGTTAATTCTGTCCTCTGGACAATATTGCTCACCAAGTCTTTAGCCAGTAATACAGAATGAATACATATTTGAGAAGTGGACTTAAATGTCATGCACAGGACAACAGTGGGACAAAATACACAAAAGGGGAGGGGATACAAGAAATGACATTTAAATAAATTAAATCCAAAAGATGTATAAAATGCATACTATTTTGTGCCAGGCCTTTAATATACTACAGCATTGTTTGGGTAAGGGGAGCAGTTTTCATAGGATAAAAAGACTCCAGAACAAAATGGGCCTAACAAAGCATACAAAACAGCAGTACTTATAAAAATCACTCCATTTGACTTTGTCCTTGAACAGCAACATTAAGTGTTCTAGAGAATACATGTTTAGCCCATTTCAATCTAAAGGGGCAGGATCTGTCATTAAAACATGGGATTTATCTTGCAGCAGCCAGTAAAGGTGACTGGTCTGGCAAACAGAATTATTCTGAACAGGGCCCGGTTTCCCAAAAGCAAAATAATCCATATAATATCGTTCTAACAATGAATTTAGCCTTCATGCTTTTGGGAAACCGGGCCCAGGTGTGATTGCTTTAAATATGTCTAGGAGCTCCTCACGGTGTCTTGGACTGCTCTTTTGGCCTGTTGGATGAACAGAGGGAAAATACCTTTTTAAAACATCTTTATTGTTTACCATCAGATATTCCCTTCACTAAATTTAGAAAATAGATGTTTGAAATGTTTGCTAACCCCTTTGTTGTGTCCACTTTCTCCTCCTCTGGCACCTTTTCTTCTTTGACTTCTATCATAACAAAGAAGCAACAAATAAACAATAATCCTCAATGTCCAATGGGACATGGTATGTCTGATATAGAACTTGAAATGTTTATAATGCTTCAAAATGTTAGATGACTGCAGTTGTGCACCACACTTTAAATAAAAAGGCATGACTATTCAACACGAACGAGAAAGAAATTGTAAGAAATGATTGATACCTTTCTTCTCATCAGCTTTCTTTTCATCACCTGCTTTCTTCTCCTCCCCTTTCTTCTCTTCTCCCTCTTTGTCTTCTTCAGTCTTTGTTCTCTTGGCTTTCTTGAAGCTGGCTGCATTTCTCCGTCCGCCCCCTTGACCCTCAGCCTCGTCCTCAGAGTCTGAGAACTCCTCGTCACACGCTATCCTCTTGTCATGGGCGCGAACTGCACAACAGAGGACAGGAACATGAGCATCTCGTTATCTGTGAGTAACTCGGACAAAGATTTGCGTGACGGGAGCATAAAGAATGCAGATTTCTCATATGTTAATTCTGAGAAGAAAAAGGTAGGCATGCCAATGGTGCAGAGATGGTAACACAAAGATAGACTTCACAAGAGATGCATGTGTCTGTCAGATCTTAAAACTTGTAGGGCGGCAGGTACCCTAGATAAGAGCGTTGGACCAGTAAGCGAAAGGTTGCTGGTTTGAATACCCGAGCCGACAAGGTGAAATAAAATCAGACTGGGTCCTTGAGCAAGGCCCTTAACCATAATTTGCTCCAGGGGTGCCGTACTACTATGGCTGACCCTGTAAAACAACATTTCACTGCACTTATGTGAAAATATTTTTTTTGCGTCGTCAGTCAGGTCTAAACATTTGGATAGGGGACTTACTGGAGATGCGTTTGTTAGGGTCTTCCTCCTCCTCCTCGTCTCCACTGTCCTCCTGCACGGCGTCTTCTGGGATGGCCTGCATCTGGACCCCCGGGGCGTGGGGCAGCATTCGAAGGTTCTCAAACAGACGCTGCCTGAATGGACACATACAGGTGAGATGCATTAACCTACATGACATCACTTCAACTGTAATAGTGGCAAAAATACACACCATCATGGATAAACATGGTCTCAAGGTCAAGCATGATATGTGTAACATAAGTGCCATAATATGACCTGTTGTACTTGAAATTACCTCATCAATAACTAGCTTATATAACAGTTACTGTGTATGACCCAAATCTAAAGACATTACTTAATTATGACTAATATAGTATGATAGAACAATATTTTTGTTCCCTAATGATGTACAGTAGGAATAAAGAGCACAGTAAAAAGTAGTGTGGTCAAGGACCTACTTGATCTTCTCCAGGTAGTCGTTGGTGTTCTGGTTGGTCATGTTGGAGGGGCTGATGTGCAGTTTGAAGTCTGGCCCAAAGTACTCAAAGTAATCATTGTATGGAAGCTCTGCGGATAAATATTAATGTTATCAACACAGTGACATATGTCTACTGTAGTGGAACCTATCCTAAAACACTTGTGCCCCTCTCTGACCTGTCAAATACTACTGTAAACATAAATCACACTAGAAAATAAAAGTACACACTATACAGTGGGGTGAAAAAGTATTTAGTCAGCCACCAATTGTGCAAGTTCTCCCACTTAAAAAGATGAGAGAGGCCTGTAATTGTCATCATAGGTACAGGTCAACTATGACAGACAAATTGAGAGAAAAAAATACAGAAAATCACCTTGTAGGATTTTTAATGAATTTATTTGCAAATTATGGTGGAAAATAAGTATTTGGTCAATAACAAAAGTTTCTCAATACTTTGTTATATACCCTTTGTTGGCAATGACACAGGTCAAACGTTTTCTGTAAGTCTTCACAAGGTTTTCACACACTGTTGCTGGTATTTTGGGCCATTCCTCCATGCAGATCTCCTCTAGAGCAGTGATGTTTTGGGGCTGTCGCTGGGCAACACGGACTTTCAACTCCCTCCAAAGATTTTCTATGGGGTTGAGATCTGGAGACTGGCTAGGCCACTCCAGGATCTTGAAATGCTTCTTACGAAGCCACTCCTTCGTTGCCCGGGCGGTGTGTTTGGGATCATTGTCATGCTGAAAGACCCAGCCACGTTTCATCTTCAATGCCCTTGCTGATGGAAGGAGGTTTTCACTCAAAATCTCACGATACATGGCCTCATTCATTCTTTCCTTTACACGGATCTGTCGTCCTGGTCCCTTTGCAGAAAAACAGCCCCAAAGCATGATGTTTCCACCCCCATGCTTCACAGTAGATATGGTGTTCTTTGGATGCAACTCAGCATTCTTTGTCCTCCAAACACGACGAGTTGAGTTTTTACCAAAAAGTTATATTTTGGTTTCATCTGACCATATGACATTCTCCCAATCCTCTTCTGGATCATCCAAATGCACTCTAGCAAACTTCAGACGGGCCTGGACATGTACTGGCTTAAGCAGGGGGACACGTCTTGCACTGCAGGATTTGAGTCCCTGGCGGCGTAGTGTGTTACTGATGGTAGGCTTTGTTACTTTGGTCCCAGCTCTCTGCAGGTCATTCACTAGGTCCCCCCGTGTGGTTCTGGGATTTTTGCTCACCGTTCTTGTGATCATTTTGACCCCGCGGGGTGAGATCTTGCGTGGAGCCCCAGATCGAGGGAGATTATCAGTGGTCTTGTATGTCTTCCATTTCCTAATAATTGCTCCCACAGTTGATTTCTTCAAACCAAGCTGCTTACCTATTGCAGATTCAGTCTTCCCAGCCTGGTGCAGGTCTACAATTTTGTTTCTGGTGTCCTTTGACAGCTCTTTGGTCTTGGCCATAGTGGAGTTTGGAGTGTGACTGTTTGAGGTTGTGGACAGGTGTCTTTTATACTGATAACAAGTTCAAACAGGTGCCATTAATACAGGTAACGAGTGGAGGACAGAGGAGCCTCTTAAAGAAGAAGTTACAGGTCTGTGAGAGCCAGAAATCTTGCTTGTTTGTAGGTGACCAAATACTTATTTTCCACCATAATTTGCAAATAAATTCATTAAAAATCCTACAATGTGATTTTCTGGATTTTTCTCTCTCAATTTGTCATAGTTGACGTGTACCTATGATGAAAATTACAGGCCTCTCATCTTTTTAAGTGGGAGAACTTGCACAATTGGTGGCTGACTAAATACTTTTTTCCCCCACTGTAAATGAACGGTGCAGCAGAATGGCTCTAATAAAAAGCATGAGCTGGCACACACCCATAGAAAATTATTTAGTGTAGAGGTGCTGACTAACAGCGAATAAACTGTAAGCTATAAAAAATAATTAAAGAGTCTCACACTAATATAAACTCCCAGTAATGTATTGGGTAAAACACCAACACTGTGCCTTCTTCAGGGCCAATAAATTACTGGGAGTTGATATATAGAGTGTGCGACTATTTATTTGTATAGCTTGCAGCAGGAGAGCTCACCGTTTGGTATGGAGCTGTCCAGAGCCACAGCTGTCTCATAGGTCCAGCAGCGGGCCACGTTCCGGATGGTATAGCCTCCACCACCCAGCATCAGCATGGGAAGGTTGAAGCTCTTCATGTACTCCACACACTTAGCATGGCCTTTGATGGTGAGGTTAAAGCAGCCAAGCCTGTCTCCTGAGAGAGAGTCAGCACCACACTGAAGAACCACTGCACTAGGCTGGTACATCTCCATCACTTTAGTCATGATCTACACACACAGACGCAGATATAAATAAGATTTACATTTGAGTCATTTAGCAGATGCTCTTATTCAGAGCGACCTACAGTTAGTACATTAATCTTAAGATAGCTAGGTGGGACAACCACATATCACAGGCATAGTAAGTACACTTTTCCTCAAAGTACCTATCAGTCAAGTCAGAGCTAGAAGGGGGCAAGTGTTGGTTCAGGATATATATTATTATTTTTTATGTGGGGGGGGGGGGGGGGGGTTATTTAAGATATTATTTGAAGAGGTAGGGTTTCAGGTACTTCTGGAAGATGGGCAGGGACTCTGTTGTCCTAGCTTCAGGGGGAAGCTGGTTCAACCATTGGGGTACCAGGACAGATAATTCGATTTTAGTCATGTAGCAGACGCTCTTATCCAGAGCGACTTACCAGTTAGTGAGTTCATACATTTTCATACTGGCCCCCCGTGGGAATCGAACCCACAACCCTGGCATTGCAAGCGCCATGCTCTACCAACTGAGCTACACGGGGCCTCAAGAGAGGCTTGGAGAGCTTGGTTGGCTACATGGAAACTAGAATGGGGCTACACTTGGGTATGTTTGAGTTACAGCCAAGACAAGAAGTTAGTAGACTTACAGGTTTGAATATGGCTTCGTAAGACTCGTCGTCTATCCCATCTCTCAGAGGGTAATTCACAGCATAGTACTTGCCCTTCCCTGCGCCAATATCCTTGAGGAGAAATAACACAGAGTCAGTCGACTACAAATGTGGACACAAACTCTGCAAAGTTGACCAACAAAGCACTTATGAAACTCAAATCCCCAGTCCATTAAGTTTTCTAAGTATGAATTAAATGTACCCTTTGGACAGCCTTTAATAAACAATGCCACCAATCCTCATCCCCTGATGATATCAGACTCACCCTCAGGTCTCCAGTGCCGGGGAAGTACTCTCCGTACTTGTGGAAGGACACTGTCATGACCCTGTCTGTGGTGTAGAATGCCTCCTCCACTCCATCTCCATGGTGGATATCAATGTCTATGTACAGAACTCTCTGGTGGTATCTGGGGGAGAGAAGATTGACCATCAAATCTCCTAAATATGGCATACCTATGGTGTCCCAATGTGAAGTTACTATTGTTATCCATATTAGGCTACACCATTCCCTACATTTCACAAAATTGAATAACTGCAGTGGAGCTGTTGTACTCACTTCAATAACTCCAAAATGGCGAGCACAATGTCATTCACATAGCAGAAACCTGACGCCTCAGACTTCTTGGCGTGATGAAGACCTCCAGCCCAGTTAATGGCAATGTCGGTCTGCTGTTTGTTCAGCTTCACAGCTCCAGCTAAAACACAGGGGAAGAGAAGCCAATCAGAGAATCCATCAATCAGAGAGCATGAAACTATGGCTACATTCCTGTAATGGACAGCCACAGAAGAGGCCAAGTAAGCCAGGAAAATATTCCAACTATCCAAGCACAATGTGTCTCATCCAACAGGGTAGACCTACAACTGTATATAAACTTACCAACAGAGCCTCCTGTTGAGAGCTGGCAGAACTCAAACAGGCCATCAAACACAGGGCAATCCTCACCAACATTAACTGTGTGAGAATTGCAGAAAATGTGTTAGTTTCATAAAAGCAGAAAAAACAGTTGGCCTAGAGGCTTTTCAAAATATTTATTTCTGACGTTTCATGGGCTACTGCTCAAATGTATAGGTATATTGAGACATGACATCCTCTCTGCCTAAAACTCACATCTCTGCATCTGTTTGCTGTACTCTGACATGTTGTCAGGCCTGATGGAACGCAGGAACTTGATGTAGTCGTCACTGTGGTACTTGGTCATCTCCTCTCCATTGGCTTTGTGAGGTCGCTGAGAGACAGACATGGAGAAGATCAGTTACTGAGACCTTACTATCTAAGTATTAACTGTTCAATTCAGAACTATTGAGTTTGCAGGCTTTCTGCTGCTCTTATGAATAGTTCCAGGATTTTCAACATACGTATATCTCCATCTTTCTGTAGAGACCATAGTTCAGCAAGAGGTTGTGTGTCATGCGGATACGGTGTGGCTTCATGGGGTGCCCCTGGCCATAGTAGTAATTCCCAACATCACCTTTGAAGGAAGAAAGTGGACATCAGCAGACGTCCACTGAATGCATCATTTTAGCTAATTGCTCAGTACAGCATAGCCTTTATCTACTGCTGTACTTAATTGTATTACTATATATATATATATATATATATATATATATATATATATATATATATTATTGTGTACTTGTTTTACATGTACTGTATTGATTGATAAACATAAGCATTTCGCTGCACCCGCCATAACACCTGCTAAACTGTGTACGCGACAAAAAAAAGTGATTTGCAGTAACAAACAACTTTTTCCATTGATTAAAGGGATTGAAGGGATACTACCAGGGATTTTGGCGGTCATATCTAGATGGGATCCAACTTGTCAAATGTATTCAAATGTTGATATATTTTTTCCATTTTAGCCAATCCTAACTCGTTTCCTAACCTTATTATCGTAACCTGCCACGTGTATTCTCCAAACCTGCTGCCAAATTCTCCTAAACCTGCTACGAAAAGTCAATTCTGACAAAAGTTTGATCCCTTCTAGCCATGACCGATTTTGGAAATGAGGCCCTTTATCGATTTCCAAAATCCCGAAGTATCACTTTAATTGTAACAATTCTGATATGCAAGCAATCTGGCCAATGCAACGAAACTGGATGCGTTTTTTTAGAGAATCACTATAAATCGCAAGCTTATTACATCCAGGAAGTGAAATAGGTTAGCTAGTAGTATCTAACGTTGTTAGCTTGCTAGTATAGCTAGCTAATGTAGCGCTAGCTTAGTGCTTTTGTGGATTCCAATGCTTGCATAAGCTAATTAGTTAGCTAACTAATCGGTCCTGCCAATGTGTAATTGTGGACAAGTAACTTGACGTTATTACACAATGGAAAATAATCTTTGGCATTAGTGTAAATTCTCTCAAAGATCAACGTACATAATGTGGAAATGCCTCGCTCTTTCACAAGCTAGCTAGCTAGGGATGCTGAATGTTTGCACATCGAAGCTAGCTAGCAAACGTTAGCTAGCTAATCTGACCACAAATCGGACAATTTGCACCACTTTAAAAAGGCACATTGTACAATAACTCAATGTATAGCCAAATTAGTACTTACCATCATAATAGTAGCAAACTTTTTTCTTTGTTCCTTGAGAACTCAGCGCCATTTTACATCACAGACTACACAGTGGGCGAAAAGCGGCTGCTGTACTTGGGAAAAGGGGTGTATACAATCAGTTACTTTGTAGAACGTCACTTGAACCAATCAAGTAGTAGTTTACAACGTAGACGGCGTTGCAGACACATCCCGCCACAGCAAGCACGATTTTGGATTTGAGGTAGACAACTTTTCTAAAACTTTTGCCACTTATTGCTCATGTTTACAGTGCTTTTTATGTTTTACATAACTTTTTATTGAATGAGAATCATTGACATTTCATATGAATTTCTTGTCAATGGCATTAACAGGTAAATGAACAGAGTAGGCCTAACATTTGTGCTTTTGTAAGATACATCATGTTATCTTCCATTTATAGTCTTCAAACGCATAGGAAAATATACAAATAGATTATAGCAATATCTAAACAGTACAAAATGGAACAAATAACATGAAATGTCAAATAAATGAGAGGATACAAAGGTACTGTGGTATCTTTTGTGGGGCTCTATTTTCTTATAACTGGATGTGATGACTAGTTTAGAAAGAATGCATTAATGATTAAACATAATAGGTTTGTACTGTACTGATATAAATTGTTTCACATAACAAGCTGTGATTCATGTGAGGAGCTGTTAGGGAGTAGGGGGAGATAAGAACTTGTGTCTCAAATGTCTCACATACACGAACACTGCCTTTTTGTTAAACCGCGCTCAAGGACCTGTACTGCAAAAAGGTGCTGACTCTACAGGTTATGATGATAACAACTTATGCCTGGCAACAGTGTGCAACGGTGGAACGATTGGCTGAGTAAGTCTAAACCACGCTCAGTCTCTACTCTGATTGGCCCAGCAGGGAGTGGGAACTATCTCTGTCAGAGTATTTGAAGAAGAACCTGTAACAATGGATCAGTTCTCTGTCTGCCCTGCGTGGTATTTCAGTGAGCCCGTATACGAACCATCATACTTATCATACATACATTTTGCATATAATAAATTTAGCTTGGATTGAATATCTCTTGATTATGTTTTCTCTTATTCCAATACCAGATTTGAATTACGCTATTTCTAACACTTTCTTGAGCTCTCAAAAATGTCACACTATACATGCTTTCATTGCATCCTTCTACAAAGTATTAGATGTGTATCTGTCTGTCTGCAGAGCCTAAGATTACAGAGTGTAATTTGAAAGGAGATCCGGCATGGTTCTCAGACAGACAGTATAAATCACTGCTAGGCAAATCCCTGCCTTATTTTAGCTCACTGGTCATCCCCAAAGCCAACACCTCCTTTGGCCGCCATTCCTTCCAGTTCTCTGCTGCCAATGACTGGAACGAACTGCAAAAATCTCTGAAGCTGGAGACTCTTATCTCCCTCACAAAATTTAAGCATCAGTTGTCAGAGCAGCTTACCGATCACTGCACCTGTACACAGCCATTCTGAAATTAGCCCACCCAACTACCTCATCCCCATATTGTTATTTATTTTGCTAATTTGCACCCCAGTATCTCTATTTGCACATAATCTTTTGCACATCTATCATTCCAGTGTTAATACGAAATTGTAACTGTTTTGCACTATGGCCTATTTATTGCCTTACCTCCATAACTTACTAATAATAATATGCCATTTAGCAGATGCTTTTATCCAAAGCGACTTACAGTCATGCGTGCATAATTTTTTTTGTGTATGGGTGGTCCCGGGGATCGAACCCACTACCCTGGCGTTACAAGCGCCATGCTCTACCAGCTGAGCTACATTCGCGCACACTGTATATATATTTTCTGTTGTATTTTTGACTTATGTTTTGTTTACCCCATATGTAACTCTGTGTTGTTGTTTTTATCGCACTGCTTTGCTTTATCTTGGCCAGGTCGCAGTTGTAAATGATAACTTGCTCTCAACTGGTTTACCTGGTTAAATAAAGGTATCAAAAGCATATAAACTGGGATTATATCTCTGTGTCTTAACAGTTGGAGTTAATGTCTGTCATGACCTCTCCTTTCCTATCCCAATGTCTGTCTGTCTGTCTTAGCAGGGCTGCTCCTGGTACTGCCCCTCTGTTGCTGTGAAGAAGTCCTCCAGAACACTCCTCAGGTACTCAAAGGTTGGCCGGTTCTCTGGGCTCTCATTCCAGCACAGGTTCATGATGTTGTACAGACCTTCAGGGCAGTCCTCCGATCGGGGCATCCGGTAGCCTCGCTCCAGATTCTGGATCACCTCTGGGTTACTCATGCCTGACAGTGGGAGGAGACAAGACATGGGGATGCAGTCTGGCTGACCATATGGGCAAAGTGTTGTATTTTGGTGAACTAAATGTTTGTGGAGAATATGTGATTTTTGAGGATTACAATATACAGGTGCTATTTGGAGAATGCTATTTGGAGAATGCTGTGGAGTATAATCAGTCAAATACCTGGATATGGGATACGGCCATACGTCACTATCTCTGTCAAAAGGATCCCAAAAGACCACACATCTGACTTGATGGAAAAGGTTCCATAGTTTATAGCTTCAGGTGCTGTCCATTTAATGGGGAATTTGGCACCTGAAAAGTGAAATGGGTTTACTTTATGCCTATGTTAATTTCAATAGCACCCAATGCATTCTACATGAACACTTGGTGGGGCTATAGTACAGAGAGACTTCATGGTATAGCAGAAAGCACTCAGAACATAAAAGCGCATCCATTTTTCTAGTTAAACTAAGGAAAGTCATTCTACCCTCTCTGGCTGTGTACTCGTTGTCCTCGATGAGTCTTGCGAGTCCAAAGTCAGCGATCTTACAGATGAGCTCATCAGACACCAGGATGTTTGCCGCTCGCAGGTCCCGATGGATGTAGTTCTTCTCTTCAATGTAGGCCATTCCCTCAGCCACCTGCAGGAGGCAGTACACCATAAGGAAGGATACATAATGTATGGTGTGTGTGTGTGTTACAGGAGGTTGGTGGCACCTTAATTGGGGAGAATGGGCTCGTGGTAATGACTGGAGTGGAATCAGTGGAATGGTATCAAAGACATCAAACACATGGTGTCCAGGTGTTTGATGCCATTCCATTTGCGCCGTTCAGGCCATTATTATGAGCCATTCTCCCCTCAACAGCCTCCACTGGACTGTGTGTGTATTTGTGTGTGTGCGCACGCGTATGTTTGTATGTATTAGAGACAGACAGGGCAGAGGGAGATTCCTGTGACAGTGAGGTTCCCACTTCCCCAGGTCAAACCTCTGTTCCTCACCTCGGTGCTCCACCCAGTTTTCACAGGCAGGTTATAAGTGTGGCTGATCTATTCATATTTGTCTTTACCCAAAATTAATTTAATAAAGGTAAAACCATAACATTTCCTGCGTGAGAAAGATTAGTAAGATTATGAAACATATGATGGTAAGAGTGTGCAAGTTTTTCTGTGGTAGCAATGAGTGTGTTCTCACCGCACCCTTATACGTTCAGTATGTCTGTGCGTGTGTGTGTGTGTTTAGGCGGACATTGGTGCATATTTCAGACGTAAAAATCTCACAGATAGGCGTCATGGGTCCTGAGGCCCTTGGCAGAAAACCAAGAGGTGCGTGTGTCGTATGAACTGCACCTCATCATCACACCCAAAGATATCTCAGTTTTCACTCACTAGCTCTAGGGTTCATGTTGTTTCACTGTCCGTCACATCACACAAAAAACAGTATAAAACAAAGTCTTCATCTTGAAGAAGCCCCAACCCTAACATGGCAGTAACCCTAACCCTAGCCCTAACTATCTTAGATGTCCCTCTGCCCTCACTTTCAGCTGATGTGAAGATCTTCTGGCTCTAAACAGGCAGCCCTGCTCTCAACAGCACAATACACTAGACAGTTTCCACTGTTGGGCCAGAGTCATTTCTTACAGGACTCATTTGAATTCTAAATCCAATTCCATGACAATTGGGTTCTTACTCACTACGTGCTTTACAGCAACGTATGGTGCTGAATGCCATCAGTGTTCTAGCCATTGCTCAGGAACGTTGTCTTTTTCCTTCCATAGAGTAGGCGCTTCCTCTGCAACAGGCGGCTTTGAGAGTACTCTGAGCTTGGCTAGTTGACATCCCTGTAACCCCATTACATCTCCATGTGGCTCAATTTCCATTACTATAAATTATAGTTATATAATGTAACCATAACATTACGTTGGTGTAGCCCAATTAAATTAGATGTTGGTGTAAACAGATGTTCTCCCGTCTTTGGCCCAATATTTGGCCGTCAAACTACTCCTAAGTAAGTTGTCCTTCTACGAGAGGCTCAAACAGCAATACAATTGCTTTCTTCATCTTATGAAGTTCAAGAAAGGGGTGAGAAACACAGTGGTGGTGACACAGTTAGATTTGTGTCAAGGTGTCTAGACTTATGGTGTTATTGTTAGTAAACCTCACACAGGGGTCTCCATTGTTACAGTAAGATTAGTGTAAGCCTCAATAGCAAGAGCTGTTTTCTGTTGATCATACAGAGTGAATAGAAAGTGAAAGAGCGAATGGAGGGGAAAGAGTGAGAGAGAATTTGGGAGACAGTGTATAGAGAGCTATTGAGATTGAAGTAAAGAGCAGGGGACTTGCCTGAGAGGCCATATCTATGAGGGTGTTGATGGGTATACTGGATCCCTCAGACGTCTTGAGAAAATCTACCAGAGCCCCTGTAATAAAGCGACATCAAGTTATTAAAATGACAGATATTGGACTTTCTATAAACTAGGGTACCAGTGAAGATTTCCTACACTGGATAACTTGTTACAGCTATTGATAAGTCATTGATAATAATCTGCAATATTTTTTCATGACATTACCATAAGATATAAGGGGGATCATAGCTATTTTCAATAAAATCTCGTTAGGTTTAACAGATAAATCATCAAGGTAATGAGTTCATGTTTTTTATATGTTTTTGTGCTTCGGATTGGACACCGAGTCTACTGTGCACAAATGTATAGGATAGACTATTGGGCAACACCCAACGCTATTCCTATTTATTGTTCTGGATATAATGACAACAAATTACATAGTCTAGTGGGCTTATTCATAATATGATCTGGTAATGAAATAACATGACAAATACATTTAGTTTTTCATGTTAGACCTGCAATTTTAA